ATATAGTTGCACCTGCAACTGTATTTGATAATTTTTTGAACTTTTAAAATATTGCCTGATAGAACTAGAAGCTGCTCTTCATATTAGTGACAAACTTTAGCTTTTGATGAATTACCTTCATTTTTGCTTCTACTTTTCATTTAAAATAAGTTTCCATTCTCAGCAGGTTTCTAAGGTTCTTCTTCTACATATTAAAAAAATTGTTAAACATCTGCGTGGTGCACTACTGCTACTAGTGGTGAGAAAGTGTATTGCACCTTATTTAAAATCAATACGGCCGAAAGTTAAGAACTGTTGTTCTTTTGAGGCCCTCAAGGTGGCGCTCACGGCCCACAATTGGGCCGCAGCCCATAGGTTAAGAATCTCTTGTTTAGACCCTGTAGAAAACAGTGAAATCCTGTCTGTTAAAGCTCCTCTCTTGTCATGTCAGGCTGCTCCATGTCCGCAATGATAACTGTAAGTACCACCTGGGGGAGGAGACCTTCAAGCTTGCTCAGTCCTACATGGACAAACTAGCCAAACATGGCCATCAGGCCAACAAGGCGGCGCTATACGGCGAGCTTTGTGCCTTGCTCTTTGCCAAAAGCCACTACGATGAGGTACGAGTTATTCCTTCAGCTGTGGTTTCTGTGGTACTATGAAGACTTGTCTGATCTTTCTACCTTGTGTTGGTCCTACAGGCATACAGGTGGTGTATAGAGGCTATGAAAGAGATTTCTCCAGGGTTGCCTGTCAAAGTAGTTGTGGATGTTCTCCGACAAGCCTCCAAGGTGAAACTCTGAAGTGTTAGTTTTTAATGAAATGTCTGTGCTCAGAATACCATCACTGGGAAAAAGAAGTCCACCATGTTTCAGTTCTAGGGTTTTCTGTGTAGAATATGAAAACAATGAGCCTCATGCAAGAACGTGTTCGTATGTATTCTTATCCTAAATTTCTCTTACTTTTGTTTGTACAAAGGGTTCGTACGAACATGTCACGTCAGATTCAACWAACTCTTCTATCTTCAGGAAAAGTGTGAATGAGCTGTGTAAACTGATGAGGTGCTTGTGCATGAGGAGAGGTGATTAGCATAAATACCACCCCAAAAACACCATATAACAAGGTTCCTGCAGATCCTTAAGTCTTAAAAGTCATTGAATTCATCAATCCAAAAATAAGGTCGTAATTAGCCTTAAAATGTCTTGAATCAATCTTTCACAGGTCTTAAAAATGTTAACACATTGTAAATGGGATGACAAATTTTTATCAAATA